AGCTCCTGTCTAGTTTCATGTTCCCCACGCCTGGTGGCTCATGTCTCCCTGACACCAACGTCCCCACCCTGTCCGAGACTCCCTGATAACACGTAATGAAGACGTCCTAGTCAGTCAGTGCTCGTGGGGATCACACGGTGCGCACTGAGACTGTGTCCCCATACCTCACCATCACTCACCACACACACTCAGCCTCTCTCACCTTTAGCTCACTCATCTGTTAGTCACAGAGAAGCTTAGCTCTGTGGTTTTCTAACCAAAGTGTGAACCTCTTTTTAAGGAAAACCTTTTTAGGGTTAGGGTCGATCTTCTATGTCAACAGCAATAAGCATAGGCAGTGTGCAGTTTCCATGTGCCTCGGTGTATCCACATCGTGGACTGGCTTCTATGCGCTGCCTGTCTTGGGCGTGATTCAGCCCGTGTGTGAGCCAGAGAACAAACACTGGTTTACACAGCTGTCTGCTGTCAGCACTTCTGGAACCACCGGGTGGCCAGCGCTGTTGTAAAAACAGACTTTATTTGTAAAGCAAATTGGATACTGCCTTTTACCTTGTTGTTTTTAAGGATGGTAAGATATTTCAGAATCTTTCATTTATTTGCTTTTTGTTCAACCGGAAGTTGGTTTTCTAAGAGTGGAGTTTTCCAGGTGACATGTAAATCTGATGGTGAAGGTTCATTTATTTGGCTTTCACAACTGAGCAATATTTATGATTAAAAGTAAATGTTTGCCCTGGTCTTAGTATTAGCAGTTCTATTTTGCTCCCTGCTGTATGACATTTTCGTTGTTATAGAATTTATATGTAAGAGGTACTTCTAAAAATACAAACTGTACAAACCAAATAAAAATTGTATGTTAAAAAATACAATATAACCGGGTGTGGTGGCGCATGCCTATAACCTCAGCACTTGGGAGGCTGAGGCAAGAGGATGGCTGTGAGTGCAAGGCCAGCATGGGGCACATAGTGAGTTCAGGGCCAGCCTGAACTTCAAAGTGAGACCCTGTCTCAAAAAAAACAAAACAACAACAACAACAAACCAAAAAAAAAAAAAAAAAAA